GGTGCAACAGCTACAGTTCGTACATTTTGAGGATTGGTTTTCGCCGAGGCGGGATGAGCGTGCCTTAGAGCACTTCTACACTGTGTTGCAGGAGGAATTCTATAGTGCATATCTCAACAGCGGTGTTGCTTTCAGATCTCAGCAGGTCTGCCCCTTAGAGTCTCTAGTTGCAGCCGCAGGCGAGCATATCCATCCTCACCTCTCTTTTCTGCTAGGCTTGTTAGATCTCCTTGGATAGACTGGACGATATGTTCCATCTTGGGTCCGTGAGTTCTACTCCTCCTTGTGGACTGACCTGAGACACAGGTTTATTCATTTTGCTTTCTGAGGGTGTGACTACAGGCTCCAGAGCTCAAGGGTCAGAGAGATACTAAGGATTCCAGAATCACCTAATCGTCTTCACGAGACATGCTATGGATAGATAGAGCCTTCGAGATGCCCTCACGGCGGACTTGTGCCACCTACAGATCTTGTCAGACCATGCTTCACAGAGCCATTTGGCAAGGGGTCGAGCAGGACACCACGTGACCTTACACCTACAGCTCAGCTTCTTGATGCTATTATAAGGAGGACTCTGATTCCGAGGATGGGCTACCGCGAGGGTCTAACTTGAATTCAACTGTGGCTAGTGCATTACCTAGTGTCTCAAACTATCTTTGATATTTGGGATATGATGCTTTCAGAGATGGAGGACACACTAGCAGAGGGCTTCAAAGGTCACCGTCAGCTGCCTTATGCTCATTGGATCACTTTCTTACTCCGGAAGGCAGTTACACACAAGTCCCCAGAGACAATGGCAGAGTGGACAGGTGCTACTACTGAGTTTCCACAGTATGACTTGAGCCAGATGCTATGTCATAGTCATGCGAGGACACCTCGCCAGCCTAGTCGTCGCCCCAACGTACCAGAGATAGCAGCTTAGCAGGATGAGATCATTAGAGGCATCGTAGAGACAGAGGAGGAGGAGTTTGATGCACAGCAGGAAGATGAGGTCGAGAGCAACCCGAGTGACAGCTTAGACGATGGCTATCAGCCGATTCTGTAGATGGCACCTCGTCCACACGATAGAGAGGCTAGTGGCTCCAGCTCAGCTCCACCATAGCCACCATAGATAGACCCGACACTTCGAGCTGTACTTGAGCGGACGAGGCAGGATCAGGCACGCCAGGCACAGGAGACCGCAGCTACACTTGCTCAGGTTCAGGCATGATAGGATGAGTTTCAGCGACAGCAGCAGGCCATGCAGCAGCAGTAGCTTAAGATTCAGCAGCAGTTACTCGGCTTCATGCAGCATGTATTCACTGCTATTGGGGTTGATCCTCCGAAGTCTACATTTTAGATAGGCCAGCTGCCACCACCACTCCAGTGACTCCAGCTGTATAGCCCAATGGGCTTTCGAGTTAGAGACAGCCAACTCCTCAGTTTGCCTCACCTACAGAGTAGGTGTCTCAGTGGTTTGCTTCACCCGGGACAGCTCAGGGTCCACACTTTACTCCTATTATTACGGGCTTCACTCCGACTCAAACTTCTTCAGCGTTAGTGACGGACACCCTAGTCTTCAGGAGTCTTGGCGCTACCTTTAATGAGCTTATAGGGCAGCCTATACCTCCAGTGTTCTGAGTCTCTGGTCCTACCACAACTACTCCAGTTACCGAGACTACCGAGATGATTCCATCGTCTGTTGCATCATCCGAGCCACCTCAGACAGTCAGTCCTACACATGAGGCTTCAGCGACAGCGACAGCGGTAGATGTGGCTCCCCTTCCTATAGTGACACCTGTAGAGTCACAGGCCGTGCCAGTTACTGACCAGACCCAGACTGCTTCACCTTCACTTCTAGCTACAGAGGGTCAGACCCCTCAAAATTCAGGGTCAGAGGATGATGCAGCTCAGTTCTAGGTCTCTCACCGCACCTCTGCGCCCCGACTCGACTGCTCCTGTCCTACCGTTCGACCTTTAGGTTTTGGCGCTTGACGCCAAAGGAGGAGAGGGACCGAGTATGTTAGTTTTAGGGGGAGCATGTGAGATGGACTCGATTCTTTTGGTCTTTCGTGTGTGATACTTCGTGCATTCACGTTTACTTTCATACATTGTATTATATACATGTGATGGTGAGACTTATGTGACATGTGTGCTCTCTACATTGTTTTATATATGTCATGTCACTTGGTTATGCTCATTGGTTGTGCTTTCGCGTTTTACTCTGATTCAAATGAGCTTTACTTCATGTACTCATACTTAATTCATATCTTTTGAGTACACCATTTTGGCTTGGGTCATATAAGCATGCCTAATTCTTTTGCTCTTATTATCAAAAGCTTATATGAACCAAGCATGTTGAAAACCTCACTCATCTCCTTTACATACTCGAGGTTGTGTTGTCATCAATCACTAAAAAGGGGGAGATTAAAAGCATCTAGGCCCCTAGTTGGGTTTCGGTGATTAATGACGACACGAGATTACTATAACTAACGTGTGTTTTGTAGAGGCAATTTTAGTTAGGTCATGGTAATGGAAATTGATTGGGCAATCATGGTTGTCATGCCCCTGTCGATGGAAATCATTTTGGTTTTCAAAGGATGGACGACAATGTTAAGGACGGACTAGTTCTAAGTGTCGTTTGGTGTTGGAGAGACACTTAGAGTAGTTTAGGACTTTGTTTTTTCTCTGGCCGTACTATTAAGGGGGGTATGTATTAGTAGCTTAACCTAGGTGAGTCTAATGGATTAGGTGTGATGCACACTTATCACACTTAGCACTAGGTAGCTTAGGAATAGCCCTAAGATCGATAGAAGTCAACTTCATTCACAAAGAATTTCGAATTGGAAGTGAATGAAGAGTCAAATGACTGACCGGATACTGGTTTGGTTGTGATCGGACGTAGCTTGGAGAGTCCGATCAGTTCATTTGATCGGCAGCAGCTGTCAGAGTGCGATCGGACACTGGACACCAGTGCTCACCGGACGCGACGCTAGCCGTATCTGTAGCAGCGTGAACAGGCTGTTGACCACAGACTGGACGCTGAACAAAGAAGTGTCTGGACTCTGGGGGCCAGCGTCCGATCAACATCAGTAAGGTTCCAGAGAGGGTTTTTGATGACCGGACGCGTCCGGTGGGTGCTGACCGGACGCAGGCCAGAGTCCGGTCAGAGCAAACGGCTCTTTCTGACACGCTGACGTATTACACTGACCGATGCATTCGGTCACCTAGACCGAAGCGTCCGATCACCCCGATACTCGCTGAGTTGGACCTCAACCGTTATGTTTTGAATGGGGGTGGTATAAATACATATCCCACTCGTCCATTTGAGGTCTCTTGCCCATTTGTTCAGCTGAGAAACACCGCCGGAGTGCAAGGGAGAGCAAAAGCCTAGTGGGGTGATTGAGATTTGATAATCCAAGATTAAGGACCTCATTAGTGCATAGGGAGTAGCAAGTGTGCATCCACCTTACTCATTAGGCTTGTCTTGGTCAAGTGAGAGTTTGTGCTTGTTACTCTTGGTGATCGCCATCATCTAGACGGCTCGGTGGTGATTGGGAGCTTGGTGATCATCCGACGGAGCTTGTGGATGACCTAAGTCACTTTGTGAGCGGTTGTGGACGATTCACCGCGACGGAGTGTCAAAGAATCAGCCCGTAGAGAGCACTTGATCCTTGCACGGATCAAGGGGGAGCTACACCCCTGCGTGGGTGCTCCAACGAGGACTAGTGGGGAGTGGCGACTCTTCGATACCTCGAGAAAACATCGCCGTATTCCTTTCTCTCTCTTTACTTTAAGTATTTACATTTGAGCAATTCATTTCATGTCTTTACATTCCTAGAATTGCCATGCTAGAGTAGGATTAGAATCTAGGGTGCAAAACTTTTATACGGTAGAACAATAGAAACACATTTTAGACACAAGAGGTGCAATGGGCTAAGTGTAGGGCTTAATTATTGCAAAAAAAATTAGAATTAGCCCAATTTACCCCCTGTTAGACATTTTGATCCTTTCAGAGGTCTAGTCTTGTTCTTTTCCTTTTGTTTGAACCTTGTGTTTGTCTTTTGTTTATCCTCTTTTAAAAGAGTTAGCTTGATTGTACACATCTTCGGAATGTAGAGGCTAGAATCTCATTACATTATCTAAAAAGACATCCTTGCTCACCAAGCAAAAGGGGTCGATAACGTATCTCATCGTGTTCACTTGTACACACAATGGTGCCCAGTTATGGCCTTATTATGGATGCACTCACCTCTGTAAATTAGCCTTTACCTTTAAGGCCCATTTCTATAAGACGTTTAAGTTAATCAAGCAGTTACAAAAAAGAAGATGAAGACTTAGCGTCTGAGTTGAGTGTGCAAGAGCTGAGAGAACAAAAACAAGAAACTGCAAGAACTTCAGCTGCAAAAGTTGTGTATTTCCTCTTAGGGGCCGTTTAGATCCTTTCATTTTGGAGGAATTAGAATCTACTTCGTGAATTATGCTATTTGGCTTGAAATTTGAGATTCCATAACTTTCTAGAGTTTTCATATGAGTCATATAAGCCTATCTCAAATTTATAGGGTGTGAGATGAAAATTAATTTATAGATCAACATGCTATGTTTATACTCTTTAACTTATAGCACGCTCTCCAACTCGTTTCACTAAACGAGAAATGCAACATATAAGCATCTCCCTTAAATAGCTAACAATAGCATACAAATATATTCCATATACAATCATATTAGCTTAATTAATATGTGCCTAAATTATAATTTGTTAGAACAAATTCAATTCCAACAATCCAAACGGACCATATAGATAATGTGCGGACGTCTGGATTAAACAACTTTAAAAGTTGATTAAAAAAACCAATTTTAAAAGTTCCAGCGGAAAGAAAACCTCAATTGTTCATTGCATTTTGACCAGTAGAATGGACCAAATTACGTTCTAAAAATGCTTAAAGGTCCAACCTTATTGAAATTTGGTGAATACATATCCAAGGAAAATGGAAGGTCTTGTTCACCCATAGTAAGTCTGACTAGCAAACAAGACGATGCAGACCTCGAATTAGGTCCAGGATGTAACCTTCGGTCCTCCGCTTATCAGCGTAGTACAATGTCTCTATCTTGTTCACCACATGCCTTTGAATGGCAGAGGCACCAGCAATGGTCTGACGTTCTTCTTCTCCAGGCCAATGTGGTTCCTCAACATCTATATCCTCTGGCATCACCCTGATACAGGAAATCATTGGCAATCAGTGTCTAAGAACAAAAAACTCACCTTGCAAACATTGCATAACAATATGAGGGATGAGGGTTGTGTTCACGCACATGTTCATCCATTCACCGAATGCCCCATTCTTGTAGTACAATCTGTCCATACAGAAAGCAATTAGGTATTTAGATGTACATAGCACACACTCTGTTATAAGGATGGTTTGAGGCAATACTAGAACTCTAAGGAAGTTATCTGCAGTGGTATTTCAGGTGTATATAGCACCCATTAATTAAATAGAGCATAAAGTACATTGTGGATTCTGCAACTGGCACAAGCCACTGAAGTATACTGTCCATTTCAGCTCTGACCTCTGCTACTGTCATCGTCTACAAGCCATTACAAAGATCAGAATGAATGAACAATACTGTTTAGGTGATAAATATGTTGACATGTTAAGATCAGAATGAGTTACTTTCTCTCGGCGACAACAATCTCGCAACTTTGATTTGATGCATGGAGGCAGTGCCTGGTACAATGCACCCCTAGCTTTGTAAGAAACAGCCGCAGGTGAGGTCAATACCTGAAAATGACCAAGTCATTAAAACATAAGAGAATATAAATCCAGGAAAGTTCTCGGACAACATTGGAATACTGCTTCTGCTTCCCAACATGTTCTTGAGTGACCCTATTTTTTGAAATAACTCTTTCACCATTCTGTTTTTTGTCATGGCCACCATCTGGAAGATGGCCGGGTGGCATCGCTGCATCAGTTTTGTTGGAGCTGAGGTCTAAGATCATAGATGAGAAGGATGAACACAAGATGAGTCTAGATGGATTGTTTCTTGCTTTCCTTTGATTGATACATCTTATCTCCTTTTATAGAGAAATTTACTTGACTCCTAAGGAATAGATCTAATCTACTACTAACTTGAGAAAGGGAGCGCTACTTAAATGGCTCTGCTACAGTGCCAGCCCAGCTGGCTGCTCATAACACTTTTCTTAAGGTTAAAGGTTCTTTTCAAAAATTCAAAATGATCCAAATGTATTCCCTCCACAGATTTATATACGGCTCCAAAGCATTTTAGGATTCAAACTTCATAATTTTGACTAACAAATAGCAATAGTATCCATGTTCGGCAAAACAAAAGGTGCCACTATATTCGATTTGGAGTACTTTCAGTGACTATACTTTTGTACTTACTAGCAATATATGGTAAATGAAAATTGCTAGTCAAAATTCAATTTGAAGAGGCAGGCTTACAAAAATTCAAAGCAGAGAGTAGCAATAGAAGCTTTAAAAGGGTACTTTCACCCAATTATGTTACACTATTATAAACTGATATAAGAAGAACATGTTCATACCAATGTATTTATCTGCAGAATGACATTGGCATAATGCAACGCAAGGCCAGTAGGCCCTAATGTTTGATGAAGGTTGGTCACTGGCGCTACAGATTGATCTCCGTTGTTCTTCAAGAAAGCACTTCTGATCTCAAAATTTAAGACATACGCAATGTCTACAAGTTTTGCTACAATCTACAACAGAACATAGAGTTGTTAGTCCACAACATAGATAATTTAAACACTTAATATTTACTGTGCTAGATTACATCTTCCATCGTCTTGGTCCAAAGTGATTTATTTTTCAAATTCTTTGCGACCGATCTTTGATGCTTCACTGAACGATGCATGGTTTGAATCATATCTGCAAACAATTCATGTATGGTTTGAAATCTTTAAAAGTAGATCCCTTTTTCAGTCCATGTGAGGTACAACCAAATTATAACTAGGAAGCTAGAAAATTTAGCAACTAAGTACCCAAATTGCTTTTTAACTCCCATGGGTATAATTTTGTGGTATCTCATAAGGACCATTAAATCAGCTTTAAAAGTTGTATATCTCTCATTGGTATCACTAACAATGGAAGTGTCTAGGTTACATTCAGCCTTTTTCTATGTTTTTTGGTGCAAGCGGTAGAGTCTTACCGCCTGTGACCGGAAGGTCCCGGGTTCGAGTCGCGGTCTCCTCGCATTGCACAGGCGAGGGTAAGGCTTGCCACTGACACCCTTCCCCAGACCACGCACAGAGCGGGAGCTCTCTGCACTGGGTACGCCCTTTTTTTTAGACTGACAAAATAGCCCACACAATTGGGTGGCTAGATTTGGGTATCAAGCTGCATGCACCATTCAGTTGAGCTCAAGGCCTAATTCAATCGAGAAAGACAGACAACTCACTTATTTGACACTCCACCTCACTCGAACTCAAGACCTATGGCTCTAATATCATATATATTAAGGTGCATGCACAGCCAATGGGCCCAAAATACCTAAGCCAGTAGAGCAAGACATGTAAATCATTTATACATACTTCCACACTAGGAATACAAATATATTCCACACTAGGCACCGCACGAATATCATCTCTCTTTGGGCAATGAGGAAAAGTCAACTGCGATCCCAAAATGTTTTTCTTTTATAGCATCTTGTCTTATTACATGAAAAATGAATATAAGTGCAAAATACTAACTTCTTTGATCACGCTCAGATCTTCCACTGCCATTATGCTCCATCAATTCGCGCTGAAATCTTTCTGCACACTTGTCCAACACAAGTAATTCTCCATGCAGTTCCTGAACAAAGAAAAATTAAAGAAGCAACCAAGTTTCAGTGATGTCTGATGAAGAACGAACTAGAAGATTTGTGATTGTGCCAAGAAATAAACTGACCCATGTATACTTTTCATGCTTTCTAAGATACTGTATATTGGAAAGCAATTCTTCGTTCAGCAATTTTTTCTGAGTTGTCGTCTCTTGATATATCAACCTATTCATTATCAAGAATAGCATACACAAAACACACAACATAAGGCATCATGAGGTCCTGGAGTCCAGAACTCGATAGTAACTTAGGTGTCATAAATCATAATACTAGGTTTTACCTGTCGAAATACCTAACCAAATTGTGCCAAGAAAGATCTACACACAGATCTCCAAACCGGCTAACCTCTGAGCAAAATCGCCTAAACTTCTGTCTGGGCAATTAAAATCAAATTCACATAAGTAAATCTTGAAAACGTACTGGTGATTACAAGCACAGCAAATTCCCATCACCGTATGTCAGCTTCAACAAGAAGAACCAACTGATTGTGATCTTCGGAGATCAGACGACGAACACCTTCTGACCTAAGCACCCCTTCTTTGAGATGCTCCATGCTTTGTTTGGAGATTATTTTAATCAGACTGAAGCTCTTGTCAATTGTATTATTGGCAACCTCGAAGGCCAGAATACTTATTTTACTTCCTTTGGCAGAGAAGGTGAACAGACTGCTGATATTTGCAGTTTTTGAGGTGGATGATCTATGCAACATTGTGATATGATCCGTAGTCGCAACTGAACAGCCTAACGTACCAAATTCTGTGTCCTGTAGGATGAGGAGGCCATAGATAAAATAACTCCATGTAATATGGATTTGGTACGTACATTTATTTTTTATGCCTATTAGGGAAGAGCTAGCACACGTACCAATGTATGCTTATTTGTACTCTCTACTGCATTGAGCATTTGAATTATATCCAGCGCAGACGGCCTCTTTTTGGGGTCAGAATCAACACAGTTTAGTCCTATTACAATGCATGTGTTTACTTGTTGACTTTCTGTTTCCAGGGGTATATGCATTGGTGCCTTTTCTAAGTTCTTCCTCCAATTTTGAACAACCTAAATTTGGCACAGTAAATGTGTCAGAACAAAAAATATTTTTGAGATGATCACACTATGGGAAATCTGTAAAGGCTGTCTAAGTCATCTTACCTTCTTGATGAACCGCTCAAATGGCGCTTCATTACTTGGGGGATAGTCCCTATATCCTGTCATTAGCTCTATAATTATAACGCCCAAACTGAATATATCCGACTTGGTCGATATGAACCCATTTGTCAAGTATTCTGGTGCCATGTATCCACTACATTATAACAAGAAATGCCATCATATTTTAAATTGGATAAGAACACAGCGGATGTCTAAAGAGGATTAGCTTACCGTGTCCCCCCGCGACTTTCAGTGATTATTCGAGACTGTTGTTGGCCAAAGAGTCTTGACATACCAAAATCTGCAATTTTTGGCACCATACCATCATCAAGCAATATATTCTCAGGTTTGAGGTCCAAATGAACAATATGCCATTCCGTGTGAAGGTAATGCAAACCAGAGCAAATTCCTCTAATTATCTGATATCTCATATTCCACTTGAGTCCACAAGATTCATCTGTAGATACAGGTAAATAGACAAGATATGTGAGGTCATCCAACATATGGGTTGTGGCACCACAATGGCGTGAATAACAGCATTTTGTGCACAAAATATTGTACCATTTGTGCCATACTAACGTACTTTCAACAGGAGGACAAAAAAAAGGACAGCTAGGAAGCATGCCAGAACTCAGAACGCTTGCATACCCGAAAGGTGCTTATGAAGGCTCTTGTTATTTAGGTACTCAAAGCAAAGCAGCCTCTTTGGTATTTCAGCCATGACATATTTCCCGCTTAGTTGAGTTGCCTCCCACCGTGATTCAGCACAGTAGCCTACAAGTTTTACAATATTCTTGTGCTTCAACCCAATTAGATAAATAACTTCATTCTGAAATGGACCATCGTCTAGGTGCATCTCCGAAAGCTTCTTCACAGCAATTGCCTTCCCATTTTGAAGAACTCCCTGTTCAAACTCATATTTGCAATACTGACATTAGCCTTTGAGAATCATGGAAATGTTTTATATGTATCATATATGCTACTAAAAGGTTCCTACATCCCTACAATACACTGCAACACAGATGCTCCTTACGTGCCACTATATATATTAAAAAAAAGGCCTGCCATAACATTGCTTCCAGTTCATTTTTCTGTAATGTTAAGCTTTCCATATTGCCCAAATTGGTCCCACTCAAAGAGTCTCTCTATATCCTTCCTCAATGCTAGGAATAGAGATTTTGATGAAAAACTACCTTCCAACAGCTTCTCTAAATGGTTATGCAAATATAACCGTCTTCTATTCCTGATTTTTTGCTAACTAAAAGTAGAAAACAAGAATGTGTTATGACCGGCACCCATTATACAAGGCGTAGGCCCATGTTATGACAAGTGGAGCCGGCCCAGGGGCCACGCGGTACTGTAGCGCGTGAAGATTAGATTGGTTTGGTTTGGTTTGCTAGGAAAGAGATATGTTAGATTGATTCGGTTAGAATATTTCCTTAGGGGTCAAGTAAGTCATCTCTATAAAAAGAGAACCTTGTATCAGTTATAGTCAAGCAGAAACAAGAATTGTTTCCGGCTTCCTGAAGGGAGCCGAGATTTCCTAACCCTAGCCGCCTCCTGCCGTGTCTCGCGTGAACAGTGCCGCCGCTACTGTGGCACCGCGAGAATTCTAGGGCTGCAGCAGCAGCCACCGCGCTCTCGCCGCCACGGCCCCTCGCCGGCGTCGAGAGTACAGACCACGTCCTCCTCTCTTCCACCCCTATAACCTACGCAGTAACACCGGTAGGGCATCAGGTCCTATCAGAATGACTCTCTAACACACGAGATATAGAAAAACTGTTGGGGAGTGATAAGATATAGAAAGCGATTTTTATGTAAATGACTCTCCAAATGATGATTTAGAGAGTGAGATTTAGAAATGCTCTTGGAGATGCTAACGTGTCCCACATGTCAGCCCTGTATCAAGTCAAGCATATCTTTTAAATCGGATCTCTGTATGTCAAAACGCAGAGCAAATTAAACATCTATTTCTGGATATGTTCGATTGAATCCAAGAATCGCATATTATTAAGCACAGATTTTGAATTTCAGGAAGTCACTGCATCAATTCACGACGTTTTTCATTGGCCAACTATCTTAATCTGTACCTACAAATGTTTTGACCAAACGATTTGGTAATGGGGTATGGCTCCCACATCGGCCAACCAAAGATAAACTGAACTAGCCCATGAAGTTGGTCACAGAAAGAAAATAGACAATGAAGTGGTGGAAATCCTTGGGAGGAGGATTGGAAATGAGATTAAGTTCACCTTGAGCGCGACGGAGAGGTGAGGGCATGAGGCAAGGGGTTGCAGCGGGAAAGCGGAGGGAGCTGCAATGGTGACGCATGAGTCTGATGATGAATAAATCGATCGGAGCTGACGCAACAGAGTGGTGAATCTGCTCGCTGAGACGCGGCGCCGGCGGCGCCGCGGCGGCCGACAGGCACCCGCGCCGCGCACTGGCGCTGGCCGAGGTGGGGGACACTGTCACAGACTGGGCTGGGCTGGGCCTTCGCCCTTTTGGCTAGCCCAGCGCTAATGCGCTTTGTTACCTGTGTCGTGTGCAATTAATGGCTGTGGCTATGGCAGGCGCGCGTGTAGCGCAGTGGCAAGCTCTGAGCTGGCCGGCCGGGGTTCGATCCCCGTTCTGCACGCTCTGTGGAAGCCTCACACGCGGACGTTCCACAGCAGTCAGGGGTGACGTGCTCGTCACGCTCGAAGCCTGTTGACTTCGGGTATTTCTTAGTCCCATGAGTTCTCTAGGTGTAGGTTGTAGGATCTAGCTTGCATGGTGTGTGTGCGCGCGTAAGTTCAGATATTACAGCTTGTATTTAAAGGAACGAGGCATAAAAAAAAATGGTTATAGCTATGGTTGCTTGTAGCATCTTCCATAATACTAAATTTGAGTCTAAATATTGACTTTGAAAGTTGAAACCTTTCTAAAAAGTAATGGATATAAACAATACACTCCATCAATAGTTTCTTTTATTTGATCCTTATTATAATTATAAAGTACTCCATCCGTCTCTTTTTAAATATCGTTCTCACATATCTTTTTTTGAACAAAAAAAACCATGGGGAGATCCCGTTCTCACATATTGATGAGTCAAACATACTTAACTTTGATCAAATATATATAAGAGATTACTAATATTTGTGACGTGTAACGAGTATCATTAGATTAATCATTAAATATATTTTTATAGTATCCTTATTTGGAGATAGAAATATTATAAATATTTTCTATAAATTTAGTTGGCACAAAAATCTAGGCAACATTTAGAAAAGGGCCGGAGGGAGTACACATCGTCATTTCCTGTACACACCAAGCCGCTGACTATGGACAACACCCTAGCTCACCCCAAAATTCTCAGAATAATTTTTTCATCGCTTGCTCTATCTCTCAATATTCTCATATATGAAAATAGTGAAGATCCAACTTCAAACCTCCTAGGCGGTGACGAGTGTCGGGCTAGTGGACAATCATCCGCCATCACGGCACCATAACTCACACACAGAACCTCCAAAACGAAATCTCCATTACCTGCTTTATCTACTAGTGTTCTTATATATGAAAATAGTGCCAAGGACTCAATTCTAGTGAAATCTAGGAGAAGGCGGCAGCAGCAGCGGTGGGGGCAACATAGAGTGCCAAGGAAAAAAAGGCATCAAGGGCGCCAACAACGATAAAGAGTATCGGTCGTCCACGAATTTTTTTTTGTTGGATGTCTCAGTTTTTCCAGGCACAGATAAAACTGGGAGTTAGGATAACAAGATGTTGGAGTGGTGTTCTTTCTATTATATTTGCCAAAAATATAAGGTTACGAGTAGATTTAACAAATATAGGAGATGCTCTTAGTCGGTCTGCAAGCTTACGTGCTGCAGTTAACCCTGTTTTGTTACCCACGGATATCTTTATGCAGGTTGTATACTGCTCAAAGCACAGGTCAAAATGATATAGGGCCTGTTTGGTAGGGCTCCTCCTCAACTCCGGCTCTAGCTCCTGTGGAGGAGCCCTACCAAACGTTTTCTTGAAAGAGCCATTTTTTAGTGAAAATCAGAAGAGTCAGAGCTGTTTTGGAGGAGCCACAAATTATAGCTCCTCCAAAATGGCTCCGTCTCCTATGGAGGAGCCCTCAAGAAGAGCCGTGCCAAACACCCCCATATTATCTAGTACATCATTTTTTTTCTCGTACTAAGTAATGCACACAAATTGATAGGGTCCATAAAAATAAAATCTCACCTTTCCAACCTTAATTAAACCATAGAGATAACCACGTGTAAAAAAATATAAGCAATTATTTGGGATATTCAGCGTAAACCCTCTACTCGTTGGAATCGTGAAAACATTTTAGAAAAACATACTTAATTGAAATAGCTTTTGCTAGATCCCTTATAGGTTTCTGATAGGTTCATATTTGTTGGCATTGACCAATGGCCTCTCTATTCCAAATCCTGGCTCTGCTCTTGATCTTACTAAACACAATTTGCATGTGCAAGAAAACCAAATACTAATACTGGTTTCTCTTGTCCTATATAAAACCTAATACACACTAAGACTAGTACAAGCAACCAATCATAATCTCTATCCACGTCTAATTTTGTCAAGGAAAGGAAGAAATTCAAGGGTTAGTGGCCATAATTTTGCGAACATAAGGTGCGGTCAATCAATCATTGTAGGTTAGTGGCCATAATTTTGCACGCTAAACGACTTTCACACAAAAGATGCCTACAGACAACAACGCGGACATCGACTAGCTCTATGTGAAGTATGCTTGGAGTTGGAGGTGTAATTTTGAGTGCAATATAGAATTAGGAAAACCCACTGTAGAAAAAAAAGAAAAGAGAGAAGCAGCAGGGTACCTTGTAAACCACTCCATACCCACCTCTTCCGACTTCTCGTTCCTGGGAGAAATCTTGCGTGATGGCCTTTAGAAAATCCATCGGCAGACACATCGGTGCCGCACCGTGGATCTTGTAGCATGCTCTCCAATACGCTAAAATCTGTAGATTTCGGTAAAAAAGCACGCTTGCGAGCTTCACTGCCACTGCCAGTTATACGGTGAAAAAACCTAGAGGTTCAACAAAGGCAAATCAGAGACCATGTCTCTCGCGCTTACCAGTAAACTTAGGACTCTTTTGAGACACAACAGGAATTTCACAAGATTTCGAGCAGAGCTGCGTTCCAAACTCATGGCATGTGGAAGAAAAGGCTTACGGAGTACCTTGGGAGCATCTCTCCAGCAATGATGTGTGGCGTGTGCGGCGTCGTCTCCAAGCGTGAGGTGAGGAATGAAACCCAATCGGATGTCTGTGAAAATGGTTCGTGCGAGTGCGAGCCAACTGAACGAAGGATGGATGGACATGGACTAATCGTTGACCCGACTGGCTGACTGACTCCAAGGCTGTGCATACTTTTTTTTTTAAGCTTAAGGGTGTGCATAATTGTGATGGCCGAGCTAGCCGAAGACAAGTCTCCCTCTCAAAAAATAATGGCGACTCACCGACTCTGAATTAGTTATCACCGCGTAACTAACGAGGGAACTCTGCTGGTGTTCGACGCACATGTAAAAAAGCTCGCGAGGAGCGTAAGCAGACATGGTTCAACCTTTTCGTTACGAGATGCATGCTAGGCATAAGTGGACAGAAATACAGTCACATCGTGGCAAACACAATATATAATACGGCAAAAGCAGTATGGGTAGTAGACTTGAGATGAGCAGATCACCAGCGATGGTTGCAGTCTTTTTAGCAAGGCTTGAGGTGATGAATCCGTTATGTTTTAATTTAGATAAAAAAAAGACAATTACGACTCCACAATAAAATCACAAGATATCTATACAAGATGATGTCAAATCTAAATTTGAAAGAG